CAAAATGGTATCGGTGCCCTATTTGTTGGTACTCGTCGATACGATACCACCATTCTAGGGCAGTATCAGGGCCCCGTCCGATACTGGTATCGGTATCGGTGCAACACTAGTAGTAACGGGACCTGGGCACCTTTCAGTCATCAGGTCGGCAATAAACTCTCTATGAAGTTAATTTTGTTGTTATTGTTTCAATAAAGCTCTTAAAGGAAAAGTCTGGTCATATTCAGAATTCAAACTTCTGAAAGTAGTTTAAAGATGAAATGATTACATATTATAAGTCTTTTTAATTAAGAGTAATTTCATTTGAATATGCTTTACTGGAGACATCCATGTTTGTCAAAGAACACTACTGCCACCTACTGGTTTGTGACGTCACGGTATCTATATCTGATGTTTGTCACAACGTGCTATTATCCAAGTCATCTTGAAAACACTCTTCTTCAAAATATTGGCTACATATTATGTGTTTTTTCTTTTTAATAGCAAATCCTCCCTCTTCAAGTTGTGGATGGATCATGAATTGGAAAGTTGAAATAACATATTTTTTTCACTTTTACCTAATGTATTACAACATCCAACTGCCATGCACGTGGGCATGGTCAGTGTAACTATAACTTTCGTGAATTTCAATGGTGAAGTCCTCTGGAAATCTTCAATAATTGTTGTTGATTGCAGATGTGTCTAGTAGCTCCCATTGATTTTGCTTGAAAAGCGAGAGAATGGCGCTAGGCTAACCGCACGTCGTCAACTGACGTCAATGTCGGACGATGTCAGGAGTGAGGTGTGATTATATTTGGGCAAAAATGGCCATTCCCAGACTCAGTAATCGTGATGAAAATTATTATTTTTATTTTTTTACCGATTAATGCTAAATTCAATAAATCACCACAAACATATTAGTTTCAGGTATAGATAATGATCCATTGATCATTCGTTGCTGACCGAACTAAAAAGTTCGGATGGTAAGTTTTCTTTTTCACACATTTAGTTTCTGAAATGTTCTTTTTCTAAATAGGTTTTATGTATTTCCTTCTTTTCAGATTGCATTCTGGGTTTAAGGTTTCATTCACTTTAAGCTTGAAACAAACAGTTCCTTTTGACCAGAGGCGATTCTAGAGTCTGTGGGGGCCCCAAGCAAAAAATCCTAGGGGGCCCTACTGACCAGTGTTCATCACCATTATGTTAGGCTATAAATAATCTGA